CCTCCCAATCTTCCACCTTCGCCGTCTCCGTTTCTTCTATCGCATCCCCTCTCCGGCGCCGCCGCAACTTCCCCGTCGTACGCGCTCAAGGTAAAGTTCATTCCATTATCCTAACTTTTTCGTACTCTTTTTTTTTTCTTTCCTTTTTTGTTTGTTTCTTATCTAATTGATTCTGATTTCGATTTTTCCATACCCCAGTTGCGTTTTACTGTGTCTTTTGAATCAATGCTCTAGGTAGTGTTTGCTTAGTGAGTGTTGTTTATGGTTGTTGTTTCATTACTGTGTTATCCGTAAGATGTTTGTGGAAATGCTTCTGACTGAGTTTTGTAATTCTGAGTTTTTTTCCTGAATTTATTTGGTACCTGGTGAGTTGAGTTTTGATGTTGAACTTTATGTTTGTTAAATTTGAAAGCTTTTTGGATTTTGGCAGAACTTTGGATATGCTGCACATTCCTTTCCTTGCATATGTGTAAACCTGTGGAGGTGTAAATAAGAAAAATAAATTAGTTTCCTTTTTGAGTTTTTGGGAAATCGGTATTATGACTGATATTAGATTATATAGAATTGCATCTCGTTGTTGTTACTGCCTAGTAGTTTGGTTGTGAAACATTTTATGTAGAATGTTTATTTTAGCATGTAATGGTCACTAGGGCTATAGCAAAATAAAAGAAAGATACATGGAATTAGAAAAATGGAATAATGATGTCTTGTGGAATTTTTTGGCGAGACTTGTTATCATAGGGAAAATGTAATACTTAAGTTCTTTTGATATGATGATGAATATTTAAGTCTTGATTCTCAATTTATATCTTTTTTAAAATAATGCTCATGTATGTGTGCATTTGTGCTTGTGTTGTTGTGTTCTATATTTTAGACATTGTCGATGTCTACCCGTTGAGTCAAGTTTCCATGTATATGCTTGTGCTTCATAGGTTATAAATGACATTCTATATTAGAACCATTAAGTTAATACAGAGTTGCAAATGATTTTTGAACTAGGATGGAAGGAGTTGTCTGGTATGGTATGAATATTTTAGAATACTTTATGTATGAAATTTAAAGGTTATGTGCTTTTGAACTTTTTAAAGATATACAAATTTAGCCAGTGAGCGGTGACTCAATGTCAACCAATGGCCCATTGACTGAATACTTGTTTGAGGATGTACCTATTCAAGTTTTATAATATTGCTGGATACAATGTCAATGGTTGTATTTTTTATTTTAATTTCTGTTTGAATGTCAGTTTTCTGTGGCCAAATTTTTGTTGTGCTTGCGCTTTCAACTTCGGTGATTTGATTAAATTTCATTTCTATAGAAATAATATGCTGGTTCTTTCAGTGGAACCATCTGATAAATCAATTGAAATTATGAGGAAGTTCTCAGAGCAATATGCCCGTAAATCAGGAACATACTTTTGTGTTGACAAAGGAGTAACTTCTGTTGTTATCAAGGTACACTCTCTTTTTTTTGACTCTTTGGTGTATAACTACTTTTTTAATATGACTTTATTTGCTTTATAGAAAATTTTCTTTGTTGTTTGAATAGCACTCATTACCAAAGAAAATTTATGTTTCATATTCCTTTAGTTGTTGTTACAAATCTAGTGGGATATTTGGACTCTTGTAAGAATATCAGTATCAAAACAATGGTTGCATCGAATTTGAACTTTTCAATGGATCATGGTTAACCATGTGCTTTGTAAGTTTTGTGCAGAATGCATGAAAATTATGTTTTCTTTTGAAAAAAGGAATTGTTGAGAGAAAGGAGGGAATTTGGTTGATGTTTTGGTTAAATATTAAATCTTTTGGGGTGACTATTCAGATTATCAAAATCATAGTCACCTCACTTGTCGGTTCTCATGATTGGCTATTTTTTAAATCACTTTCTGGGTTGATCTTTATAAGTTTTGGTCTAAAAGCTTCATTTTCTTTCTCTGGCTTGCTAATTTCTTTCAGAACTAAGTTACTACCTCTGTCCTAAATTATAAGTCACTTTGCTAAAAAAATGTGTCCCAAATTATAAGTCACCTTACATTCTCAATGCAATATTAATGACATTTTCTCCAATATACCCTCAAATATTTATTATTATTTATTCTTTCAACTCTTTTAATTTTTCTCTCCTGTGTAATTATGAGGGGCATTACTGTAAAGTCATACATAATTTGTCTTTTCCATATAGTAATAATTAAGTTTCTTAATTCATGTGAAATGTCAAAAACGTCTTATAATTTGGGACGGAGGGAGTACTATATTTAGCCATGTCATTATATGTATATAACAGAAGAACCACCCGACACAACACTGACACCAACATGTGGACAACAGTAATAATTGAGAAAGTTGAAGTGATTGAATGTAATCACATGTGTCAGTATCATGTTGGTGTCAAACATAGACACAAGCCAGACACTGAACTTGCCTTCAATCCAAAGTATTGGTGTTACATGGCATTATACTGTTTTGATGATGATGATTATAAAACACTGTATTTGCAACATTATATTCTAATATATAAAGTACTTCTATGAGGATTTTTGCAAAACATTAAGTTTCTTCTGTTGTTATGTAACGTTTTTGGCATGTTGATATTTGTATTAATTCAAAATGCATCTTCTGATTATAGTTTTGTTCTTAACATCAAATTCACTCGGCATAAATGTTCTTCTGGTTTTAGATCACCCTGTTTGAATATTATTTTCATTATTTTTAATGTAAAATGCCACTTTTATATGCCCCCTGTTGCACAGCTGCTTATGTGCATTGTTATCAAATATCTGCCATGGCGGATATACATGGCGTATTTTGGGCTTGCCGCAATGATAAATTTTGGCCAATATTGCGGGGTTTTCTGCTATAACCGCCATAATGGCGCGGTAAAGCGCCTAATATGGTGGGATTTTGGCTCTCCACCACCCGCCATCAACAACACTGCATGTGTCTGGCATTAGAACTAAACTTTCAGTAGATTACATGTTTTGAATTGTGGAATGTTGGGAATAGACAGTATAAATTATCTAGCTTGGTCCATTATAAATAGTTCTCAATGTCAAAATTAAATTGATTATTTTATTAATTGTGATTAGGTTGTTTCTGAATGTCTAAATTAAAGTAACTAAGTCACAATAAGTGTAAGCTTTGGAACATCTTAATTAAAGAAACTAAGTCAAAGTTAACGCCCTACTAAATATATAAAAGAATATATAAAAGAAGGAAGTCTAATATTTCTCACCTCCACATATTCGGATGCAAGTGCTCTGTCTTTAATAACGGAATGGATAACCTTGTCAACACATAATACCACATTTGATTTCTATGCCAGATTGTGCATGGTTGAAAACTAGTTCAGAAAACTTTCTTGCATATTTTGTAGTGAAAAAAGGAAATATGGAAAATGAAAAAGAAGTTTGTGAACCATCAAATATTGACATGCTGGCATGAAACTGTATGAAGTCTGAAAATGAAATTTTCAGAATGTGGTTGTTAAGCAATATGAAACTTAAATTTGGATAATAAACGTAGATGTGTCCAAATGTGCATAAAACTGATAATTAGATATAGTCATTTACTCTGGTACTCTTTTATTTGGAAAGGGAAAACTATTATCAGTGAGGATGACACTAATAATGATCAATTTACAACTTTCTTGTGTCAAATTTGAACTTAATCCCTCAACGTTTCAATATCAAACTCTTAACACTGGAATGGCACATCATGGAAATTTACTTGTGTAATTAATATTCTTTCTAACTTTATTTCTATTTTGAAACAGGGTTTGGCTGACCATAAAGATTCACTAACTTCATTTCTATTTTGGAACAGGGTTTGGCTGACCATAAAGATTCACTGGGTGCACCACTCTGCCCTTGCCGGTAAATAGTTGTTATTTTACCTCCTTGCAGAGAATTTTGTGTCTTCATTCTATAGTTTTGGTAGCATGCGGTTATACGTAAGTTTTTTCAGTATTGATGTTTTCTAACTTCCCAAGCCTACACGCAAATTCTGTGTTTTAGGCATTACGACGATAAAGCTGCTGAGGCTGCACATGGATTTTGGAATTGCCCGTGTGTTCCCATGAGAGAAAGGTAAGCACATCTCTACAACTAGCTTGAACTTTTTTCCTTCTAAGGCCTTAAGTTGTCAAATTTGAAGCTACTTTAGCAAGTATCAAGTTGTATAACAAGCACTTATTTGTTTACATCAGTTTTTTTAATTGAATTGTGATCATGTTTGGCAGGAAGGAGTGCCATTGCATGCTTTTTCTCACTCCCGATAACGATTTTGCCGGCGATGAACAGGTGATTTTGTGATTCAATTTGTCTGAATTTTGATTTTTCCCCTCATTGTTACTGCTATTTATATGCAACATTTTCTTGTCTTGCAGACTATCACCTTGGATGAAATTAAAGAATCAACATCAAATATGTAAACACAGATTATTGTGTATTTGTGTTAGTTGTTTCAATCTGTAACATTTGAAAAACAAGGGAAGAGTAAAATGTGTAACATGATATGTAGGTAATATATTTCTACCAAAAATCACATGTAATTTTTTTCATTTATGCTCTTTATAAGTGGCCTAACCCATACTTTATCACAAAATCTTCATTTTACAACTTGCTTTTTTTTCTTTCTTTTCTTGCTGCTGATACCAAAATTAAGGTCTATTTTAATCAATTTCATATCCTTACCAATATCAGGATATTGAAGTCATTATCATTAGATTAATCTAAAAATCAAATTGTATTTAGAAGCAATGTATCATTCAGCATGATCATTCTTCAATTAGATTATAAAATCAAGCAAATCTTGAAACAATCTTCGACAAAATTGTTGTAGCTAGATTAATCCAACGGCTGAGAGATAAAAGAGATTGTATATGATAATTTCTAGATATTTAATGTAAGTTTGAACATTGAAATTGCACTTAAAGGCAATGTATCATTCAACATATTACATCAAACCACACCAGAATCACATGTATTAAAATTTACACATGAATCAATAAGCTTTAACAGAAGGAGTACTAGGAGGAGAATTAGTAGTAGAACGAGATCCAGCTTTTTTGCCACAATCTTGACCATTACTTCTTGAAGCTAAAGCAGCCATAAACCTATTCTTCCAACTTCCGTTACCAGCACCACTAGTTAAAGAAGAAGCCGAATCTCCTCTTCTACAAGCATGATCAGCAGAAAACCGATGTTTGAGACACACCTTAATGTTGCAAGTTTTACATGTACTCGTGTTCGAAAACGTCAAAATCTCCTTGCAACGCTTCACGGGACAAATCGGTTTCTTCTTCTTGGTAGGATCACACTTCCCTGAACTACGGTGTTTCTTTAGGACCGCCTCTTCATTTTCTCCAACATTGTCTGTGATCTCCATTGACATGGAACATTCTTCGCAAACAACTACTCTTCGGCTGTTGTGGTCGGGTTTGGGACACTCATGAGACCTGTATGATCTGTGTTCTACACAGAAAACCTGCCATTGCGTAACATGTTAATAACTTTTTCCGTTTCATATTTAGCAAACTTACAAGTATACATTTGATTAAGATGCCTGAATTTTTTTAATGAAAATTACAATATTCAACATGTTAACCGTTAATATACTTAAATTCAATTACCTAGTCTAAAAACCAACTAATCCAAGAGTTTTTTTTTTGAATCCTAGGGAAAAGGAAATATTGAATAAAGACGATAAAAGAAAATAATTAAAAAAGAAACCTGTTTGCATCCATCACAGGTGAAAGGAAGGAAATCGAGCTGGTGGCAATCGAGAAGTTGGCAGTGTTTACCCAAATCTGGGAAAGCTTCTGTTCCACCTGATGCCATAGATTGATTGTGAATATTTTGTATCTTTTTATTGTGAAATTGAAAATCGAAAAATAGTAATGAATGAATGAAGAAAAAACAAGATTGTATTTATAGGTTTGGTTGGTATAATGAAGAGAACTTGGGGCGTAAGCCAGTTTTCGATAGGGGTTACGTATATGGCACGTAATCTCAAAACAGAACATTCTAGTCGTAACCGACAATTAGGAGTTCTATTTCGGCGTCTACGCAGTAATAGTACAATCGGTTTCTTTTTTATATTTTTTAAAAAAGAATAATTCTGTTTTTATTATTTTTCTTACTATCTCCCTTAATATAAGAAAAATACTATTTTTTAAATTTATTGTAAAATTAGATATGTTGATTTTTTAATAAAATAAAGATATATATATATATATATATATATATATATATATATATATATATATATATATATATATATATATATATATATATATATATATATATATATATATATATATATATATATATTAACTATTAGAAAGAATAATATTTTTAGGTTCTTCATTGTTTTCATGTGGAAAGTTTATTGGACTGGGTTGAAAAAAGGATCGAAGGATTTCTTACAGGAAAATTTTATTCTACATCCTAATAAATATCCCTTCATCTCTATAATTTATTCGAGTCGATTATTATGTCATTGTTTAAATAGTTAAATTTAAAAAATCTTTATTTTCTGTTTTTATCTGTCTTTCAAGTGATCTGATTCATAAGTGAGAGTTGAGAGAATTTCAAGCAATCAACTATCTATCTATTAATGAAACATGAGCATTAACACTCTAAAATACCTTTTAATAACTATTAGTTTACGCTAATAATTGTCCTTAACAGTAATTTACTAAATCAAAAAATAAAGGACCAATAGAACTATAACATTATGTCAAGTGGCTCATCAAATTGGAAATTCCATTTCAATTTTTTCATCAACATTTTATCCGGATAGACTTGTAGAACATCCTTCATTTTCCATAACATTCTCTCTCCCGTTCATTATTTCCTTTCCATTCATCTCTCTTTTTTTTTTTCATTTTCTCTGTTTTTCTTCTTCCTTCCTTTACGCAACCAACTTGAATCCTTATCATTGTTGTTTTACACTCTTCTTCTCAATATTTATTTTTAAAATCACATTATGCAAAGAAGATGGTGATATGCTTGTGGGTCATGATTCCGATTTCAACTCCAACTGAAAAAGATGGAGATTTGGGCGTGAGTTGTGGTCTGAGTTTCAAACCAAGAAAGATGGAGATCTATTCGTCCCTCTCACGTTTCATACCTAAAAATAATTTCTTCTCTCTCGCGTGATTTCAAATAAAGAAGAAGATTGAGATCTATATGTGGGTCCTGGTTTCGGTTTCAAGCAAAGAGTTTTTGGTTACTGTGAACAAAGTAATTTTCACTTATCTCAAGTTACTGTCAAAAAATCTTTGACTGGATTTGTGTTTACTGTATTTTGTTGTTGATATATATTTTTGAAAGCAAGGAAATTTGATATTGAAAAGCAATGTGCCTGACAAGCTACAGTGGAGGAAATAGTTTAGTGATGACATGCTGAGACCATTATGTAGGTATAATGCACTTTGAATTTGGGATTTTTGTTTCATTTGTCTTCTGTTCAGAAGGTTATATGCTCTTAGGGTACATTTGGAAGGATGGTTTTGGAGAGGATGGACAAGCTTAATTTTCCTTTCTGAAAACTGATTTAGTGTGCTTGAAATGTTACATGATCATTCATTGTGTTATTACCTCAGTTATGATTCAATTATCAAGGCCTTAAGAATTTTACTAAGTCATCCTGGGATCTCGTCATTTGATTGCAGAAGGTCGACAATGACAATTACTCTGAGGTGTGATATCTCATATCCTGTATATTGCTTTTGCCTTTTTTTTTAATGTTACTCTATTATTGGAAATTCCAAAGGTGATGTACCTTTGTTCACGGTGATTATCAGTTTTTTGGGAACAATATACGGGCCAATCCATTTTGCCAGGAAAAACTGAGGTACGATGTTTACAAATCTACTTTTCATCATTTTGTAAATGATAAAAGTGATATTAATACTAGAATTATAGGTTAATGAATGTATAAGGTATCTAAGATTTATTTTACTTCCTTGTAGGTTGAGCAGTTGAATCATATTTTAAAATTTTGTGGCTCACTGTCAAATCGAGGGACAACAACTGCTGCTCTGAAAATCGAGGTATGTTGATTTTGGTGTATACTTCCAACAAGTAATTATATAAATTGATTAAGATTAAGTCATTTTCTTCTTATTGTCATACCCCAAATTTGTCCTACCTATATATAGCTTTCATTTTGTACATTCTTCCACTAACCATTATTCAAAAATCCAAAAAATATATATTGCTTCTGCTTGTTGTTCAAGTTTGTGCAAGATTGAATTCAAGATGCTTGTGTGTGTGGTATGTTCTTGAGGATTCAATTAGGGTTTCTACTTATGCAAGTTGTTGGTGAGTGAGTCAAGCTATCGGGTTATGATAAGTACAAGTGTTTCATGATTAAAGATTACTCAAGATCAGGTCGTGCCCAACAATAGAGTTGTGGAACAGTTGTAACGCAGTCCATATCAAGTTACTATCTTCTGATTTCAAGGTTTTAAGGACCCAGTTCATGATGAAAGATTGTGGTTCAACTGCGATCCAAGTGACATTAGTTCAAAATGACTTTATTCCTTTATTCAATATCAGGTTCAGAGGGATTAACTGACTCAAAGCATCAGTCATTTCCTAGTTCTGGATTATTTCAAGGTTTGATTTATGATTCAAGGTTTTAATACATTCACAGATCAAAATTGGGTTATGGATCAATTCAATGTTCTATTCAAGTGAGAATTCAAGAATGATAGGATTTGGTTTATGAGAATTATGGATCAAGTTTTGGAATTCTAAGTCATGAATTAAAACTCTTTGTGATCATGATTAGGCATAATTCAGATAGAAATAAAAGAGTGCAAGCAAAATCGTTCCAAGTCTACAAATAGAAGACCATTGCATTACAAAAATTCATCAAAAGAGAGCTTTTATTCAAAAACTATTACCATTATAAGTTCATGATCCATTTTTATTGTTTCAAACAAAGTCACCGAAGTCCAAAAATCCACACCCATATTCTTCTACAATAAATCCGAATCATTTAAATTTTAAAGCCCATCTTTCTTTTTGCAAAAAAAAAATGCAATGGAAAATCCATATAATTTGAGGCCCATCGTCATCATCACTTCTTTTTATTTTTAGCCCATTTATCAATTAATATTACAGAAAAAAAAGGACAAAGGCAAACCGTGAAGGGAAATTTTACCCCATACTCCTGCACTAAAATTTTTTGGACCAAAATATCCTCGTATAAAAATTTATAATTTTTTTTTCATTTGTTCACCGGAAGACTTTTTGGAAGTCTTCTGGTTCATATTTTTTTTCGTTTGTTCACCGGAAGACTTTTTGCAAGTCTTCCGGTTCATATTTTTTTCGTTTGTTCACCGGAAGACTTTTTGAAAGTCTTCCTGTTCATGTTTAAGATTTATTAATTTCATATAAACACCATTTTAGTAAATTTTTATCTATTATGCTTAATATATAAAAATTCTATAAATAGAGAATGTTTTTTAGAAATATTTTCAATTTACTATAATTATCATAATATTATCACATTAGTATTATATATTTAGAATTTGCAAACAAATCTTACTAAACTTGCAAATTTACCATATTCAATATATTTAATCAAATGAAACATATGTGATAAATCAATAATGTATTTTAATTTAAAATGATCACAATAATATAACTTGCAAAAAACAAAAACTAAATCGAACTTTCAATTAAATAAATCAACCAAATTAAAATATAAGTAATAATTTCACTTTATTTAATATTTTTAATAAAATAAAAATATAAGATATAAATAAGTAATATATTTTATTTAAAGCAAACACAGTATAGAACATGCAAAAAAGTTATAAATAAAAAAAGACCAAACAAAAATGAAAAACAAATAATAAATTTGTATTCTTAATTTTTTTTAATTAAATAAAAATATGGGTAATAAAACAATATTGTTTTATATTTATAATTATGTGAGTTCTAAAGTATAGATTAAATACTATATTCATAGTAGTATTCAAAATTAAATAATCAATAAAACTATATCAGTCTTATAAATAAAACACATTATTTGCGTGTTCTATTATTGTGATTATTTTAAATAAAATACATTATTAATTTATTACTTATATTATTTCGCAAGTTAACTTATTGTGATCTAAAATACATTATTGATTTATCACATATGTTTTCATTTGATTAAATATATTGAATAATGTAAACTTATATCCTATATTTAAATTTATTTTATTTATTAATTTTCTAGATTAATAAGATATTTGAGAAAATTCTACGATTATGATTATTTAAAATAAATGATTTTAATCTCATAGTATTCTAATAATTATAGCAAATAGAAAATATTATGAAAATGATTCTCTATTTATAGAATTTTTATATATTAAGTATAATAGACAAAAATTCACTAAATTGGTCTTTATATAAAACTAATAAATCTTAAATATTAATTAAAAATTAAAAAAAAAAACATGAACTGGAGGACTTCCAAAAAGTCTTCCGGTGAACAAACGAAAAAAATATAAACCGGAAGACTTGCAAAAAGTCTTCCGGTGAACAAACGAAAAAAATGTGAATCAGAAGTAAGGCTGACAATGAACCGAACCAACTCGAAAATAGTTCGGAATTCGATTCGACAATTAAATCGTTGAATTAGGTTCATGAACCAAATGAGTTGAGTATGAGCAAAAAATTAAATTCGTTAAATAAATGAGCTGAACTTGAACTATACATAGTTCGACTTGTTAGGTTCATGAGTCAACTCGATTACATATGAGAAGAATTATATCCTCTTTAAGATTAGGTTTAAATATTTACTCCAAATCTTAGACAAATTTAATCTT